GGAGGAGGAGGAGGAGGAGGAGGAGGAGGAGGAAGAGGAGGAGGAGGAGGAGGAGGAGGAGGAGGGTCTGGAGAGGGAGTGCGAAGGGACTCCGGGGGGAGCGGCCTGGACCTCCGACGATCCGCGGGCACACGTGCTGCACGCGCTGCCCGGCCGGGCGGAGGGAGGAGGGACCGACATGGGGGAGACGGGTTCTGAGGGAAGCGTGTCCTAGGTTTTTCGCTGATTCGGAGGCTTCGGGGTCTTCCACGGGCCCCGCGACTGTCAGAAATGATTCAGGATGAAGAACTCGTCCTGGGGGAAGGCCCTGGGTTCCAGGAGTCGTTTCCATCAGGACCCGTTTTCCCCATGCTAAAGGGAGGTGGGGGCACGAGCATCGAAGAAGGAACAACGGTATGAACATAAATTTCTGGAGCTCCGTGCGGATTTCTTGGATCCGCGCTGGCCGCCCTCCGGCGGCGCCTCCAGCGCCGTCCCTGGCGCGCGGGGCAGCGCGGATCTAAGAAATCCGCGCGGAGCTCCGAAGGTTTAAAGGTCATGCCATTTTTTGTTTGAAAAGAGGCTCCGACACCGCTACTCCGCGGACCTCTCATGGGGCGCGTTCGGACGAGAATTTCGAGGCAAAGCCAGCCTTGGCGGCGAGGGAGGGATAGCTGTATATGTACCTTTTCCTTTTCTGAGCAGTGAGGGAACAGGAGGTCATGATACTGTCGCGTCCGCAGATCTGCAGGGTTTCCAACATCCCTGAGCGTTCCACAAGGGCTGCAGAAACGACGGCCGCTAGATACTGTGGGAATATTGAACGCATCCTGAGCCAATCCTAGCATGACATCACACCCGTCCGAGGGAGGGAGTAGCAAGCAGACGACGACGATCGCAAAGCCAGAGGCCATGGACCGCGGGACGAGGCAGGCGGGCGGGCAGGCGGGAAGGGAGATGCAGGCAGCAGGCAACAGGCAGCAGGCAGCAGGCATCAGACAGCAGGCAGCAGGCAGCAGGCAGCAGGCAGCAGGCCGCCTGGGCCTGCTGCCTGTCGAGCAGGATGGAGGTTGCGAGGAGCGGGGCAAGGAGGGCGACAGGGGGCAGAGGGGGGGGGGCTGGAGAGACTCCTCACCCACCTCTCACACCGTGACGAACTGGCTCGAGACTGACACGATCTGCAGTCAAGCGCACGGCCCGTTACTTGGCCCCCTCTCTGGGTGAAGAGACAGCTTCAAGCATCCCTCCGCGCGTGCACGACATGGCGTGCAGCAAGCAGGTGCAGTGCGGTCCCAAGGGCGCCAGGAAGGCCGTCCTAGTGGTTGGCGCCAGCGCCGCTGCGGCGTCGTTGGCCCCGGGCTTGGGCTTCGCCACCGGAGCTCGGGCGAAGAGCACTGTGCATATACACGGACCCTGTCCAGGTCCGTCCTGGGCTCAGACCATCCTGGGCTTCTGATCGCTGCAAGTGCCCCCATCTCAGATCACAGGATGCAGTATTTGTTCGGTCGTGATCGGTAACAACTGATCGGTACCCCAAATCGGTCGCGACCGATCGCGACGGATTTTGAAGCAAATCGGCTGCGACGACTTTTGAATTTGAAGCAAAATCGGCAGCAACCGATCTCGGCGGTCACGGCTGGAAAGTTCTAGTTTCCACCAGCCAGGGAGGGATGGCCGAGCCAGGGCGGAGTAAGCCCCGATCGTTGGCTCGGGATTGGCCTGGCCAGGGTCGGTGCATGCGAACACCCAGACATCCAAGGTTGTTTTGTTCAGCGCGCGGCCCCAGAGGTCCCGACCCCGCTCCGGGGAGTTGTTCTTCGTCCCAGATGCGCTGTTGCTGGTTCCGTGGCCAAATGACGGGCCGCAGGGGCCGAACTCGAGGAAACTCGCCCTGATTGCTCGGCTACGCGTAAGGGGTACCCTTCGCCGGAGTGACCTTTGGTGCGAGCCTGCAGGGGTCCCTCCAGTACGGGCTGGCGCGCCTGGATTTGGCCCCCCCCACGGTCCCGTAAAGCCGCGCATCGAAGGTCACTCACGCCTGGGCAGACTTTGGCGTGTAGCCGAACTGCAAACTCAGGTCGTCGGAGATCTGGTCATTTTTCTTTCTTCCAGGAGCGAGGACGCCGCTGGCGGCGCCCGCGCGCAGTGCCGACGCGCTGCCCGCGGCGCTCGCCAGCACCGCCGCCCCTGGCGCAGGCTCGTTGAGGGTTCAACGACATCTGCTGTCCCTCGACTCGCGTTGGAGCGGCCACGATTTGCTCCAAATTTCCCACTTGATTTCGGACTTCTATGGCTCTACCTGGATTTGCCAGGATCTACTAGGATTTATTTAGATTTGTCTGCGTTTGCTTTGATTTATCTGGTTCGATTCCCACAAGTCGACCGGCGAAGAATCGTCAAGCCCTTACGGTCGTGAATTTTGGGATAGAACGCGTGTGTCTCCGCCAGTTCTGGCCCACCACGCTTCGGCGCGACACGCTACCCAGATCCTCGTCCCCAGGCGACGACGTCTCGAGCTTTCCCAAGCCTCCCGCCCTGCGGAGCCACTCGTAAGGCGACGGGGCCGCGGCGGCGACACGCTATCAATTTTCGACCTCTGTCGCTGTGGAGTTCCGCAGCGATTCGAGCCCCTCTCCGTGCTTGCTGCCAGGTGGTGGCAGCGACTCTCCAATGCTCGCGGCTGTAGCCCCCCTCGAGGGGAAGCGGATCCGACACGCCATCGGAGCGGGGGATGTTGTTGACGGCTGTTTGCGAGGAGCGGAAGCTCCCGACCGCAGGGGCGGGCGCCGGCACTGGCGCGGGCGCGGGCGCCCTGGCGGGCGGCGCCGCCGCCGCGGGCATGGCCGCCGCGGTCGCGCGCAGGGCGGCGCTTGCGGGGGGGCGAGGGCGGCGCGGCGCGACGCGGTGCGCGGGCCGCCCGGAGGCGGCGAAGGCGCCGGGGCCCTCGCCGCGGGTGGTCTCCAGCGAGGACTCGTGTGCTGCCTGAGGTCCCAGATCTTGGCGGCGTGCCCGAGGGGCGGGGGAGGGCTTCTCAGAAGGAGGCCGCTTCTTTCTTTGAAGGCGCCAGCCGTACATCTATGGATCAAGCCTGCGCTTTCTAAGAGGCAGGGTGCTTCTAAGGCTTCCCCCCTCCCCCTGCCCCCCCCCCTGCGAGTGGCGGAACTTCCCTTGCGATACGTCGATCTCTTAGGCCTCCCAGATGGGGTCGGAGTAGATAGGGTCGGAGGATTGCGCCGCATCGGCGATGCGGCTCGATGCGGCGCCCGAGTTTTCTCCCGACGACTTTGCCAGTGCATCGCCGACGGCGTTCCAGAAAGGGCTTCGCCTTCAGCGTCGAAGGAGTTGCCATCTCTTCCTTGGTGGAAGACGGCGGAAGGGCGGCGGAAGTAAAACGAGAGCGGCCGTCAGCCAAAGCTGGCGGGAGGCCGGCGAAAGCCTGCGGAAGTAAACATCGGCCTCCCAAGCGGTTGTCCTGTTGGGCTTCCCAGATGGGGTCGGAGTGGATGGGGTCGGAGGATCGCGCCGCATAGCCGATGCATCGGCGATACAGCCCGGTGCGGAGCCCGATTTTCTTTACGCCACGTCGCCGATGCTATACCTGAGATTCCAGATCCCTTGCGATATGCTTTGTAAATCCGGGCGTTTTCCCTGGAATGCAGCCTCTTGGGTCCGTCATTGGGTCCCTGGTCATAGAACACGAGTCTGGGACGCATAACTCACCCCCAGGGAGTGGGGCCAGACATCTTGAGGCCGCGGCTTGATCAAACACACAGGGGCGGATGTCTGAGGACGTGGCCCTGGCCCACGAATCGAGGTGCGAGGTTGTAGGATCGACGGGGGTTGGGGCACCCGTCGCTCCTGCATGGGCCTCTGGAGGCCCCTGGGGGCCTCCATGGAGACCTGTGCTATCCGGGCGCATCAAAGAACCATAACCACAACGGAATTGATTTTTTCTGGAGGTGCCCTCGGGGGAGAATCCGCCGACTTCGACATCAGGACTCTGGCTGTGGTTCTGGTTGTTTTGGTCGTCTGGGACGTCCACATCGACCACAACCACTACCAAGCTGGTTCTTCTGCTCTGACGATTGTCGGCACGTCCAAAATATCCCCCAGGGTGTGTCCTCGATGTGGTTGTGGTCGCTTGCTGTCCCCGCATGGAGATTTTTGGAGAGCCCTCCAGAGGCATCTGAAGGGGGCACCTGGCCCCGAGGTGGCCAGAACTCCCCTGACGAGGCCCAGAGTCACTGGAGCAACACGTCATGATAACGGCACTTTCCAAGAAGACCGAGATCCCCCAGATTTTCCGACATTTCCTCTTGTTCCGCACGGGCTCCAGAACCGGGGGCAGCTATATGCCCCAGACCTCCTGGAACGCATCCGGAGCCAGTCGTAACGTGGTATTTTTCTCGTCCCACAGAGGGCATAAGGGGGCTCCTGGAGGGCGCAAAAAGTCCTGAGGGCGCCTTCCGGTCAGGATCACCCTTCTGGTAAGGCTGCGGGTTGCGCGAAGACAGCCCCCCAGGTATTGTAGTCCAGGCTGGCCTCGACAGCCCCCCCGAGGAGTCCCAGCTGGCTTCAACCGGCCCCCGAGTAGACCAGGGCGGTCTCAGCACCTCGCCGCCGCCTCCAGCGGCGCCCCTGGGGCGCTCTGCGCCCCAGTGTTGGGGGATTTGAGATCGACCTGCGCTCCTCGGGGGGCCGATTGAGGCCGACCGGGACCACTTGGGGGCCTGTTGAGGTCATCTGTGACTGCCTGCGCGCAACCCGAAGCCCCACCTCGCAAGAGAAAATCGGCATAAACATAACCTGTTGGAGCTCCGCTCGGATTTCTTGGATCTTCGCTGGACCCCGGGACCCCCTCCCTGGCTCGCTAAGCGCGCCAGGGGCGGTGCCAGAGGCGCCGCCAGGGGGCCCCAGCGCAGCTCCAAGAAACCCGCCCGGAGCTCCAAAAGTTGATGATTATGTTTTTTGATCCTCCATTACCCGTTGCCCCTCGGCAGCCTCCGAAGGACGTCTTCTCCATGGTGCGCGCCTGGGTGCCCGACGAGGCGTCGGCGCGATCCGCGTCGCTGCGGGCTCTGGCGGCTCTCGCGGCGACCGCGGCCCCGCTCGCCGCCTGCGCGGATGGCGATCGGCGGAGTGCACAAGTGGACGTGGTTGAGGGGGCGGCCTTCTACCCAAACACCCTCGCGTCGTGAAGAAGGCACGGCTGTTTGTTCGCTGTGTGTGTGTGTGCGTTTTGCTGATGTGGTTGTTGTTCAACTATTACTCTTGAATAATAACTATTGTAGTTCCCTCCAGCGCACATGTTTTTTTCCAATTGAAGTGCCCCTACCGGGGCTCGCACCCAGTTTTTTTTAAGGGCAAGTCTTGAGGCTCAAACTGGGTCCCTGGCCCAACAACGACTCCCGCCTGATACATCCTCACATTGTATTGAGAAGTCGCGCTTTCGCGCGCGACTTCCTCACGACGTATACAGGAATCGCGCTCTCGCGTGGGACTTCCTCGCGAGTTATTCAGACGCCGCGCCCTGGACACTCATGAATAACGATTTATTTTTGAGTCGCGCTATCCGTCGAGACTTCATCGCGATTCATGCAGGACGCACCCTTCAGCAACCCGCCTGCTCGACCTGGCCGCTTTCACCCGCCTTCCCGACCTGCCCGCTAGGGTCTACCCGCCCGATCTGCCCGTCTGGTTCTGCCACGTGTTTTCTGCTCCTGCCCCCCCTCCTGCTACTCCCTCTCTTGCTTCATCCTCCTCCCTCCCCCTTGTCCTTTCATTCCATCCGTCTTCTCGTTCCTTACCGTAGGGGCTGCATGAAATACACGGTGCAGGTTAGAAAGATATACCCCCAATGGGGTACGATCGAAGACGAAGAGGGTGGGTATCGAGGGATTGAGATTTACGTGCTGAATGGCCCGCGAACAGATAAGAGCGAATCGAATTAAAACGTTTGTTATTGAATCTTCGTTCCAAAAGAATAGTTAATGTTGCCCCCCCCTGCTGGGTAACCGTTGCATCTTTCAGCTACAGTGCTTCTCCCGGGGCTCGCACCCTGTTGTCTACAAGGGAAAGCGAGGTGTCACCAAACTGCGCCCCTGGCTACCGGTTTACAACAATAGCGGTTCCCGCCGGATACTTCCTTACAGTGTATTCTCGAATCGCGCTCTCGCGTGGGATTTCTTCACAGTGTATACAGGAATCCCGTTCTCGCGTGGGATTCTTTCACAATCTATTCAGACGCCACGCCCTCGACACTCAGGAATCACGCTCTCGCTGCGAATTTCCGGACATTTCATATTGGAATCGCGCTATCGCTCGAGCTCTCTTCGCGATGCGTGCGTACTCACGGTCCAGCAGCGTCTTCTCGACCTGGCCGCTTTCACCCGCCTTCCCGACCCACCCGTTATGGTTTACCCGCCCGATCAGCCCCGTCTGGTTCTGCCACGTGTTTTCTGCTCCCAGCCCCTCTCATGTTAATCCCGTGTTTCATCCTCCTCCCTCCCCCTAGTCCCTTTCTTCCATCCGTTCTCTCTTCCCCTGAGGCACTGCCTTCGAGGCTGCACAAAATGCATGTTGCAGGTAAGAAAGATATCTACCCCAAAAGGGGTACGATCGAAGACGAAGAGGGTGGATATCCAGACTTTGGGATTTATGTGTTGAATGGCCCGTGAATAGATACGAGCGAACCAAATGAGCAATGGTTGTTGTTGAATTGTCATTCCTAGAGAATGCTTCTTGGTGATTCCCCCTGCCGGGTAACCATGGTATTTGATCAGTGCGAGTGGGGAAACCGAGTTGTCACCAAACTGCGACCCTCGCCCCGGACTGACAACAACAGCGGTTCCCGCCGGATATTTCCTTACAGTGTATTTCCGGATCGCGCTCTCGCGCGGGATTTCCTCACAATGTACACAAGAATCGCGCTCTCGCGTGGGACTTCCTTGCAATTTGTTCAGACGCCGCGCCCACGTTGTTGTTGTTGGTGGTGGTGGTAGTGGTGGTGGTGGTGTTGCGGTTGTTGTTGTTGTTGCTGCTGCTGTTGCTGTTGTTCTTGTTGTTGCTGCTGTTGTTGTTGGTGATGATGGTGATGATATTGTTGTGTTGTTGAGTTCTCACTACTGAAGAAAAGTACTGTTCATCACCACCCTCCGGTGACCAGTGTGTTTTTTAATTGAAGTGCTTCCCACGGGGCTCGCACCCTGTTTTACCATCAGGGAAAGTCACTCGGCTCAAACTGCGACCCTGGCCCCCGGATTAAAACAACGGCCCCCGCCTAATACTTCCTGGCAATTTAGCCAGGACCCCCGCTCCCGCCTGAGACTCCCTCGCATTTTAATTAGAAATCGCGCTCTCGCTCGGGATTTCCTTGTAACTTATTCAGAAATCGCTCTCTCGGCGCTCTGGAGTCGCGCTCTCGCTGCAGACTCGCTTGCAATCTACTCAAGAATCGCGCTTTTGCGTTGGAATTTCCCGCAATTTTTTTAAGCGCCGCGAGCCCGACCCACAGGCACCAAAAGTCGCGCTCACGCTTAGGACTCCCTCACAACTTACTTGGGACTCAGGATCTCGCTGCCCTTCGTGACCCCGTTGCAGCCCTTCGTGGCCCCCTCGCTGCCCTCCGTGGCCCCGTTGCAGCCCTTCGTGGCCCCCTGGCTGCCATGCGTGGCCCCGTTGCAGCCCTCCGTGGTCACCTCGCTGCCATTCGTGGACCCGTTGCAGCCCTTCGTGGCCCCCTCGCTGCCCTTTGTGGCCCCGTTGCAGCCCTTCGTAGTCCCCTCGCTGCCCTTCGTGGACCCGTTGCAGCCCTTCGTGGCCACCTCGCTGCCATTCGTGGCCCCGTTGCAGCCCTTCGTGGCCCCCTCGCTGCCCTTTGTGGCCCCGTTGCAGCCCTTCGTAGTCCCCTCGCTGCCCTTCGTGGACCCGTTGCAGCCCCTTGTGGCCACCTCGCTACCCTTCGTGGCCCCGTTGCAGCCCTTCGTGACCACCTCGCTGCCATTCGTGGCCCCGTTGCAGCCCTTCGTGGTCGCCTCGCTGCACTTCGTGACCCCGTTGCAGCCCTTCGTGGCCCCCTCGCTGCCCTTTGTGGCCCCGTTGCAGCCTTTCGTAGTCCCCTCGCTGTCCTTCGTGGACCCGTTGCAGCCCTTCGTGGCCACCTCGCTACCCTTCGTGGCCCCGTTGCAGCCCTTCGTGGCCACCTCTCTGCCCTTCGTGGCCCCGTTGCAGCCCTTCGTCGTCGCCTCGCTGCCCTTCGTGACCCCGTTGCAGCCCTTCGTGGCCACCTCGCTGCCCTTCGTGGACCCGTTGCAGCCCTTCGTGGCCCTTCGTGGACCCGTTGCAGCCCTTCGTGGCCCCCTCGTGCCCTTCGTGGCTCCGTTGCAGCCCTTCGTGCCCCCCTCGCTGCCTTTCGTGGCTCCATATCTGTTTACTCTTCGTGCCCCCCCCGCTCGTTCGCGCCCGTCATGGCCCCATGAGCATACTCCCCGTGGCCTCCCTGTCGCCCTTCGTGGCCCCCTCGCTGCCCTCAGTGGCCCCGTTGCTGCCCTGAGTAGCCCCGTCGTTGCCCTCTGTGGCCCAATACACGTATGCCCTTCGTGGCCCCCGCTCGCTCGCGCCCGTCGTGGCGTCATATGCATGCCCTTCGTGGCCCCGCTGTCGCCCTTCGTGGCCCCCTTGCTGTCCCACGTGGCCCCGTTGCTTCCCTCAGTGGCCTCGTCGTTGCCGTCTGTGGCCCCGCATTATCTGCCCTTCGTGGCACCCGCTCGTTCGCGCCTTTCGGGGCCCCACATGCATGCCTTTCCTGGCCCCGCTGTCGCCCTTCGTGGCCCCCTTCCTGCCCTTCGTGGCCCCGCTGTCGCTCTCGCTGTCGCTTTCGCTCTCGCTCTCGCTCTCGCTTTCGCTCGTCGTCGTCGTCGTCGCCGTCGTCGTCCTCGTCGTCGTCGTCGTCGTTGTCGTTGTGGGTCCCCTGTCCGTCCTTCGTGGGGTCGGGTTGCCGCCGATCAGCGCTGCCGCTGGCCAGGCCCACGGTCCGCGGCGGCCCCGCCGTTTGCCGGGGCCCGGCATGCAGGGAAGGAATCTATACCCCCCCACAGGAGTACGATCGAAGACGAAGAGGGCGGTGTTCGACGGTTGGGGAAATACGCGTTGGATGGCACTTGGGAGGGAAAGTTCGAACAGTCTTATCATGCTTGTTGTTGTTGTTGTTGTTGTTGTTGTTGTTGTTGTTGTTGAACTCTCACTCCCGAAGAATAACTATTGTTGATCCCCCCTTGCCGGTGCATGCTGTTTTTCTCAGTCAAAGTGTGCCCCTCGACGCTCGCACCCTTTTGTTTGGGCAGGGAAAGTCTTGGTGCTCAAACTGGGCCCCTGGCCCCCCGGATTGCAACAACAACGGCTCCCGCCTGAGACTTCCTCCGAATTTACTCAGGATCCCCGCTCCTGAGACTTCCTCACAATTTACTCAGGATCGTTGCTCCCGCCTGTGACTCCCTCGCAATTTAATCAGGACTCCCGCTTCCACCTGAGATTTCCTCACAATTTACTCAGGAACGGCGCTCCCGCTTGAGACTTCCTCGCAATTGAATCAAGACTTCCTCGCAATCTAATCAAGACCCCCGCTCCCGCCAGAGAACCATTCACATTTTATTCAGGAATTGCGCTCTCGCCTGTGACTTCCATGCAATGTATTTGAGAAATAGCGCTTTCGACGCTCAGGAAACACGCTGCGCCAAGGATGCCGTTACAATTTACTTCGTAATCGCGCCTTCGCCATACTCATGCATCCCGCTTGAATGTCCCACCCGCCCGACCCGCCCGTCAGGGGATCGCCCGTCCGTTGTGGGCTCCCGCCCGAGACTTCCTTCAGGAACGGTGCTTTCGCCGAGGGCTTCTTCGAACGTTCGCGCTCTTACCTTCCTGTTCCTCCTCCCTCTCCCTCCTCCCTCCTCCCTCCTCTCCTCCCTTCTCTCTCCCTCCTTTTCTCCCTCATCCTTATGCCTCTCTGCCCTATCCCCTCTCCATCCTCTCCCTCCTCCCTTCTCCCTCCCCTCTCCTGCCTCCTCCCTCCCTCTTTCTTTCTCTCTCTTCCCTCTCTCCCTCTTTCTCCCTCTCTGTTTCTCTACCTC